AGGAATAGAATGATTAAGACCATTCTTCAAAATTTCCAAATCATCGTGTGTCAAAGGGAAAGATAAGTTTTTTTTATCACTTGTTCAGAAGTTTTTTTTTTGTTCAGAAGTAAAAGGTATAGTAAGATTTCTTAAATTTTATCACCAAAAGTGAGCGTTGCTTCTTCTTTTTTGAACATTAAGTGAGCGTTGCTTCTTCTTTTTTGGGTTCTTTATCTAATTTTTTATATTCTTCTGACCTTCTTAAAATTTTACTTTGGAGTAGTCTCAATTCAATTGCTTTGCACCATGTTTGTCAGCATTAGGAGGAATTTGAAAACAAATAAAATTTGGAGATACAGAAATTTTTTTACAGTTTCTTAAGAATTGTAAATCGCAACTTACTTTCTTTACTTTAAGGTACAGTTGCTCAATTTTCCGCCAACATTCTAAAGAATATTTCTGTGCTAAATCATATAATATAGTGCCAAATGATCTGTTAAACACAACTGAAATAAATATTTGAATAAAATTAACAACACATTAAATTTTTTTTTAATTATCTACAAGCTTGGGCTAGTTAAAACTCTTATTGACTGTTGTTTTAAATTTAATAATACCTGGTTTAGTTACCATAACAATATTAATAACATAAAAACAGTCTTATTAAAAAATCAGTAGCCAATTAAAAAAAATTTGGTACATCTAAATTCAACAATAACAAATCTCTTAATTACAAACATTTTTGGTTGACATATATAGGTGATAGTTCTAGAAATATTCAAAACAAAATTAATGAATTAACTAAAAAGTTACATAAAAAAGATTTAATTATCAAATTCTCGTTTTCTTCTTTTAAAATTAAGCAGTAATTTTCACTAAAAGAACTTTAAAATAATAAATCAAACATTGTTTACAAATTTAATTGTACTAACTGTAATGTATGCTACATAGGACTAACTGTCCTTAATTTTTTATATCGCATTGATGAACATTTTAAAGAAGATAAAAAGTTGAAATACTTGTGCAACATTTAGTTTAAATACTCGTGCAATATTTAGTTTAAATACAATATTTAGTTTAAATTTTTGTTTGGTGGCGTTTTATATCATAAGTATTAGCAGCTTCTGCTCTGCCTCATAAAGTCAATCTAATAGTAGTATAATTTAACAGTTTTAAGAAAGTCAAATTTAAAACTTTAAGAACAGCATAACATATTTCTTTTGATTTCTCTCTCTCTTTTACTCATATATTTGAACCAAATTTCAATGGTACCCCGTTCATTTTGTTCAAAACCTCCTCGACAGCATTTTAAATAATAAACAAAACTATCCCCATTTTTGAGATTTTCTGTTTAATTCAAAATAATATTAATTGTTAGGGGTTCATCTGGAAAAATCTTAGGGGTTGACAACATGCAGCTCGCAAGCCACATATGAGTCTTTTATCCAAATTATGCAACATTCAACCTTCAATAATTCAATCAATCAATAAATAGATACAGACTTCAATTGAATGAAGAATGCATACAGTCTTCAAATAAATTTACAGCAGCAAGCATTGCTGTTTTTCAAGAAATAATGAAGCCATTTTTAAAAAACCATTTATGGATGGAGATTTTATAAAGATTTGTTTTTGTATTCATGTACATATACTTGTTTTGTGATTTTTAAGTGGAAGAAATTTTAAAAATCACAGATGTTCCACTTTCTGAAAAAAAAATTGTGACAGAACAATAAAAATTTAATAAAGGTCATCTATATTTTCTTTGATGTGTGATGAGTCATGTTACATAAAGAATACCACACAAGTTAGATTAGTAGGGCAATATGAATCAAGGGTATTAATGTAGAACTGCTCATTTTGACAAAAAATGAAAGGATGATGAAGTTAATAAAAATATTTTAGACTATTGTTGTATAATCAGTTCTATTGGTTATCTAGGGAGGAGGGAGGGGGAGATATTCTTAAATATTTTGGTTGATGTATCAAACACATTAAAACATTTAATATTATCATCAACAGCTTTTTGAAAACCTTTGGAACCTAATGTAGTTAAACAACTACATTAGGTTCCAAAAATTCTATTTTGCTACAGATACAATAGTTGCAAAGACAAGGTTTTTGTTAGATATACAACCCTTGGAATTAGGAAAAATGAGGTGGGCAATAAATTGGCGACCTCAAACTGTTAAAGGTCTGCAAAAATATTTGACACAAAAGGGTTACTATAAAACATAGAAATGAGGTTAGCAAACTTTTTCCAACCTCAAACACTTTTAGGTCAGCAGTTTGGTTGGTATTGCCAAACCCAGACCCTAATTTTGAGGGCTGGATATAAAAGAGTTGCAAAAACAAGGTTTTTGTTACAGATATGACAGAGTTGCAAAGACAAGGCTATTATGTACATTTGTAGAAAATTAATTATTTGAAAATGTAGTTTCTTTTAAAAGTCATTTGTCTTTAGAAAAGTTTCTTTTAAAAATGTTTATTCCAAGATATTAGCAATCAAAATTTCATTTCTTCCATTTAAAAAACTAAAGTGGCATTAACACTAAGAATTTCATGACTGCTATCAAAAAATGAAAAACTCCTTTGTCAAGTTCGTTTTACAGAGTTCATTTTTGACACATTCACTTACTGTAAATACAAACGAAATAAATTTTAAATCACTCTAAAAGGTCAATAGAGCTCAATCGGAAATTCAGTTAATCAAGTTGAAATCAAAAAATGTTTGGTTTACAAAATTTACAGCTTTGCAAACAGAACTAGAAAACATCGAAAGAAAAAAAAGAGAAGTGGTTACTAGATCCAAAATTAAAACTTTTAAATTTTCAAAAAGAAGATCAAATTATATTTTAAACATGAAATAATCTTCCTGAAAGGTTTAGGTTTACTCTGTAGCAATATTTAACAACATTAAAAGTAATTTGAGATGCATAATGACCTCATAATTTGAGGTCATTAGCTTTTGACAATTTGAAAATTGTCTAAGCTAATGATCTCAAATTAGGAACTTAATGTAAAGAAATCTGTGAATCAATTTACTCACTAATCTTTTTCTTTATTTTTATTAAACTTATTTTTATTAAAATTATTTCTTTCTTTAATTTACAATGAATAAAAATAAGTATATAAGACATTTACATGTCATTAAATATCATAAAAAAATAATTTGTTGATAATGTTCTGGAGTTTTTTAGTTCACTAGCATCCTTGTGACACTCGGTAAGATACTTTAAAATTATTTAAGGAAAAAAACCTTTTCTCATAAATAGCATAAAAGTTATCACTTGCTAAAAGTATGAAAAAATTAAAGTATTATTTTTAATTAATGTATTATTATAAAATAATAGTTATTACTATAATAAATTGTTATTTGTCAAAAATTTATCAAATCCATATTATAATAATATTCTATAAAAATATATTTTTTATATTAATTTTTGTTATTTTTATTTATTTATTTTACATTATATTTCATTTTTAACTTCATCTATTTACAAAAACGATTAATTACAATAATATAACCAAATTTAAACCTTGCCGTAACCCTAACCCTGACCTTGATGCCTGGTCAAACCAAACCCTCAGTCAATGTAGCAGCACTCCCTTGCGAGTCAGGCTATTTGTCAGCCGATGTATGTACTTTTTGTTTTCTACAGGTACATTTTTTTACAAAAAAAAAATTAATGGCTACACTAAAATGTCCCCGGTAATGCTAATGTCCCTGTAAGTGTTTGTTTTTTTGTAAAATCTGTTCCCGTAAGTGCTAAACTATACAAATATATATATATATATATATATATATATGTATACATATATATATATATATATATATATATATATATATATATATATATATATATATATATATATATATATATATATATATATATATAGCTTACACTTTGTATCCACATTTTATTTATAATTTTCAAGATAAGGTATTTTCAAGAAATTAACTTTCTAATGAAAATAAAGTGATATTTACAATTCCTCCAATAAAGACTGATCTTAGCTGATAGTGACTCATTAAGAAGTTAATTTGAATTAAAAATAAATTATTTTAGTCTGAATCAAAAAATATTTAAACAGTTTTTTAAACAGTTTAGGTTTAAAACATAGTTTCTATTAAACAGTTTAGGTTTACAACATAGTTTCTATTAAACAGTTTAGGTTTAAAACATAGTTTCTATTAAACAGTTTAGGTTTAAAACATAGTTTCTAATAATAACCAAACCATCCAAGCAATTTTATCCAAGTGTTTTCTATATAGAATATTCAAGATATTCAATATAGAAAACAAAAACTCTATTTAAGTTATCTTTAGAAGCAACTAAATTTCCATTTTTGCATAAAAACCTTAAATGTTGCATAAAATATCAAATTAGTTTACTAAAACAGGTACAACTGTTTTAAAAACAACACAATTATTGAGCAACAATATCAACCAAAGTTTTTTACTTTGGTATCATAGATACATCAAAGATTGTTTAAAAAATTAGTATAAATGAAATAATAAATAAATTTAAACGTTGAAACATGTTTTCATAGCTTTAAGTGATATAATGTTTATTTTTTGATGAATTATTAAATATTTAAGAATCAAAAAGCATTGCTAAATTTATTGTATTTTATTAATATTTGTAGAATTTTATCAAATTTTGCATAGTTTTGTATAATTTAACAAAACTCCACCATGCATGCCTAATTCATAAATTATAATAATTTAACAATTATTTTGTTTTTCATTTAAATGGTTTTTGCAATATTTTCATTGAAATGCTTTTTGCGTAAAATTTTTGCAATGTTTTAATATTTGTCTTAAAATAAACATTACGTAACCTAACGTTACACTTTAGAAGCATGTTTTGTATAATTAGATAAAGAGAGAAAAAGCAGAAAAGACAGTACCCCATTTATAACACATTAAATTGTTATATATTATATGAAAACAAAATAAATAATAAATATATTCACACATCTATTTACAAAATATTTTTCTAATTTAGCATTACCTAAGTTTTTCAACTGGTGATATATCAGTAATGCTTTCACAATAACTGATGTCAAGATGCTTCAAACTAGCAGAGACTTCTTCAAGACTGTCAAGAAAAGTGATATTGTGACATTTTCTTAAAAGCAAATCTGTTAAATAATTAAGGCCTTCTAAAAAACAAAAAAAAAAAAAAATAATGAAAAAAATTATTATGGCATTAATATTTCCAATTAATAAAATATTAATTTAAAATTTTTTATAGCTTTATATTTTTAAAAAATTAATTTGACAAACTTTTAAAGGAATATTTTTCTATAATATTAAGACATATAAAATCAAAGGTCTAGAGCATTTTCTAACGTCTTTCACAACCTCCAACTCTTATAACCTACTTAATTATATAGAAAAGACTTAGGTAAATAAAAGTAAACATTTTTAAAACTGTATTTCAATGTTTCTTGAACTATGCTTTCAATGCTTCTTGAACAATGCTTTCAATGCTTCTTGAACTATGTTGCAAATGGTAAAAAACAATTTGATGTTTTAAGTTGATAATTTTAGAGCATTTAAATAAAAACCCAATAAAATAAATGAGAAATCATTTTCTGTTTTTAACTTTTTAAAATCTGGACATGAAGTATGATAATGAGAGAATTTAACATTTGATATTTTTGTTGTTAAAATGATTTACTGTTGATATTCTTTATAGCTACAAATTATGTCATAATGTTATACAATAAAAAATAAATAATATAATTGTTATTTATTTTTTATTGTAAAACTTATAACATTAATAATATAATTTTGAAGTTGTTGGTTTTTGTTATTAATTATTAAAACTTTAAATGATGCGGTAGTGGTGTAGTGGTAGAGCGCTCGCTTCATAAACTAGTGGTTCCGAGTTTGATCCCCACCACGTCCCTGGTAGTACTGCACTCAAATCGTTTCTCCGCGCAGCGACCTTGTTCATCAAGGTTTGTGTTTCGGAGTTATAGAGTTGAGAGAGGGTTATAACCACAAATAAGTAGCCTCCTCGTCTGTAGTGGCCATCTTGGCCTTGAGGAGGTGAATTAAAATTAAAAAAAAAAAAAAATTATATAAAGGTAGATAAAACCCTATAAAAAGGTAGATAAAAATCTATAACTCTAATGCAACGTTATATAAATATACATGATTTATGTTATAAATATATAGTAGTACATGAGATTCTTACTTAAATGACGTAAACCATTTGATGTGAGCGCAATATTACTTCCATCAATGGCAACTAATTTTGTGCAGCTATTTGACAAAGTTGAATAGCTTGTTGACCAAGTGATATGGGATTCAAACTTTACTTTGCCACCATTTCGAATAATCCATTCTGCTGCAGCTCTAAAATTCATTTTTAATACATAATAATCTATAGTTAGATAATTTATTAAACATACATACAAACTCGCACCTGTCAGGACCAAACTGTTTAATCCTTTCTTCATTAGGACTAAAACATAAAATAAAAACTTGAAAAAAATTAATAAAAAAGTTTTTGATAATCATAAAACTTCTAATTTAAACTTTATAATTGAAGAACAAACCAAAGCTACAGAGCTTCAAAGTTTTATATAAAAACATTATATATGTATACATACATTCATACATACGTACACACACACACACACACACACACACACACACACACACACACACACAAAAAATCTCTATAAATCTCATCTCCGGCCTTGTATGGAATACTGTTGCCATATCTGGGGCAAATCTTCTAATGATGGCCTTTCTCTTTTAGACAAGGCGCAAAAAGGCATTGTAAACATAGTTAGACCTGCTCTTGCAGATCTAACCATTATCACATCATCGTAATGTTGCTTCTCTTTCTCTTTTCTACAAATACTATAATGGACACTGCTCTAAAGAGCTAGCATCTCTTGTGCCATCTACTAAAATTCATTCGCGTGTTACTTGTCATTTTAATAAGTCTCATCCTTTTTCTGTGACTGTTCTTAAGTGCTCCAAAAACTCTTATTCTTCATGTTTTTTTCCTTGAACATCAGTTCTTAGGAATTCACTTCTTTCATCTTGCTTTCCTAATTCATGTAATTTGCAATCCTTTAAGTCGTCTGTTAATCGTTATAAGTTGTGGTCAAACAAATAAACACTGCATTTAAAATATTTCTTTCTTTTATTGTTACTATTAAGTAAGATACATTAAATTTAAGTTTAATATTTTTTAGCATTTTTCCAGTGTATGTAGTTTTCATATTGAAAGATAGACATTTTAAATAGTATATTACACCTTTACTATTACAAGTCTTTATGTTCCATATGGAACGATTTAATGTTGTAAATGTTTTAACTTCTTGAAGGTAGAATTTGAATATATTACAACGATTATCTTTACATTTAAATAATCCTATTTCCTTTTCAATTAAATGAAACTTTGCAGAGGTCAGTATTCTTAACAGATTAGGTGGTTGTTTAAACGCAATTACTGGCTGGATATTTGAAAAAACTTCTTTTACTCTTTCATTTAAGATAGATTAAGTAAAAGATTAGTTTTAGTAATAAAAACTTGACAATTCAAGTTGCTATAAAAAGTTGTAATTAAGGGAAAGATTTCTTTAGATTGGTTTTGGGGTTTGAAGTTTTGCATTGTGAAAAGCAGATAATATTATGAGGATATCCACATCCTTTTCTGAGTTAGTGTTTTTTTTTTTAGTGTTATATTTTTAGTTTAGCCGTTGTTTTTCCTTTTTGTAATCAAATGTGAAAACAATTATTCTTTTAGCCAGATTGAAAGGGATATTATTTTTCATGATGATAATGGTGATGATTTTTATAATTTAGGTAATCATGAGTTTCTTTATAATAAATATCTGTTTTTATTTCATTTTCAAGAATAATAAATATATTTAAAAAATCAATCACATTATAAGTGTTACCATCTTTTGTAAATTTTTTGTCCTGGTCTGTTGTAAAACTAATTAAAATATAAATTTTAGTTAAAGAATTCACTTTAGCAGTTTTATGCTGTCAGAACTGTCATTCACGTTTATGATATAAAGAGATCAGTCACAAAACTATAAAAAAAAAATAAAAAAAGAGTTTACTAAAACTAACAAGGTTTAGGATGGAGTTAATTTGTGTTATAGTTTCAATGATTACAAAGAGGATTAATTAATTGATTATTCTGGTCTAAACTTTTTTATGTCTGAACCTTTTTTAGCATGAAACAATTTAATTACATTTTTTAAAAGCGATTGTTTTAAAAATATTTTTGCTCTAAAGTTTTAACTTTTTACACCTTTTAATTTCTTTTTCCTTTTTTGCTATTAAAACTTACAATATAATAAATTGAATCCTTTTTTGCTATTAAAATAACTTAAAACTATTTTCTAATGTTGTTTATGCAATAAAGACAACCATAGTAAAAACCTCAGGACAACCTCAGTCACAGAATCACTTTAAATTTTCCTGTTTTAATAATTAAAAAAAAAAGAATAAATAATTTCAGCATACCTGTTAAACACTTCAATGAGCCAAGAATAAAAGAAACGATTTACTCTCTTTGATTGAATGAACCTACATGCTGCCATCAAATTACTTTGTCAAACTTTAACTAAAAACTTTAAATATTGAATTTATCTAAAGCTTCAAATAAAAACTTAAAACATTTATATTGACATTTTTTTAGAAAAAAACGTAAAACTTCTTCCTAAATATTAATTTAACATAAATTTGAATTTTTTTTAAATCAATTATACTAAACATGCTTTTAATTAACCAATAAAATAAAAAAAAATTCAAATAATCAATTATCTATTACACTTTCATTAGTATTGTCAGACTAGCGTCCTAGTAGCCATTTGTCTAGGACAATAGGCTACTAGTGTCCTAGTAGCCTATTGTCCTAGTAGCCTAGTGTCTAAATTTTTCATTAATGTCATGCTAGTCTTTAAAACAAAAACAAAACTTGATGCAAAATTTAAATCAGTATGTTTAAAACAAATATATAAAAACGAAATAACAATTTTCAAACCAAAATATTTTAAAAGACATTTAGGGTTTCATTGAATATTGTGTGAGTCTATAAAGTTGTTTCATTGTAAAAGTTTATCTACAGTTTTCTTAATTTACAAAAAAGGAAAAAGAAAAAACATTTTTCAAACTTGAATTTAAAAAAATATATATAAAGATTCATACTATACATAATATATATATATATATATATATATATATATATATATATATATATATATATATATATATATATATATATATATATATATATATATATATATATATATATATATATATATATATATATATATATATATATATATATATATATATCTGTGTGTGTGTGTGTGTGTGTGTGTGTGTGTATATGTAAATATACAAATATATAAATAAATGTCTTTTTTATTTTATTTGTTTTAATGGAAATCATTAAATTTTAATTAGATTCATCACTATCAACACTCATTGATTGATTGGAATCGTCTTGTATAGAATCATTTAACATATCTAATAGAAATTCTATTCGATTCTTTACCTAATTGAAATAAATAAAAAAAGTAAAGTATCAAATTGTACTATGTATTTAAATATTTTATCAATAAATTATTCATATAAATAACTAAAAAATATAAAAACAGTCTTCAGAGTGGCAGACTTTTTTTCTAAAAAATTTTCTAAAAACTGTTGTTAATGGCTAAAAGGCTTAAAAAAAACATTAAAAAAAAAATTATTATATAATCACCTCTGCATCTGATTTTGATTCTAAAGTTTCAGTAATTTTTCTAAAGGAATTTTCATTATCACCAAGCGATTGTAGTATGGTCAAAATAACCATGTCTTCTTCTCTATAAAAATGTTTATATCAAACATTGCTAATTTTTTTTTAACTGAAAACATATTTAAACTAATCAATCAAATGAAAAGTTAGAAAATATAAGAAAATATTGTAAAGGGATCTTGAGTGTAATCCTGAAATACTTTGTAAATCTTTAAATTTCAATATAAAAATTTCACCATAAATACTAGTATCCATTTTGGAACTTTGAGCAAAAAAAATATAATAAAATTTTTAATTAAAAAAAAAAAAAAATTGGTCAGAACTTATTATGTAAATAAGCTATTTATAATCAATTTTATAATCTTAAACTTGAGAAAAAAAAAAAGAAAAAAAAATTATTTTGCCATTTAAATTAAAAGATTTTTAAATTAAGTCATGTCACCGATCTGTCATTTTCGACAAATGTTGTTGGTCACATTACTATTCATTCTTCTATTTGACCATCTATTACAGTTTAGTAAGTTTAATTTATTTCAAGCTTTTATTTTTAATAAATTAAAAAAAAACAAAGTATTTTAAGATCCTTGATAAAACTTCTTAGGATATTCATTTTTTTTTTTGTTTTTTCAAAAAAATTGATCTTACTTCTTCCATATCACACTTTGATTGTTGACCGGTAGCTCTGCGAATGATTTCTCAGTTTCATATAAGTTATAAGGTTGTTTCTCTTCATTGCAACAACTTTCAATATTTAAAGTTTTTGAACTTTTCAAAAAGTTATCTGAATGTGATTTAAAATTAGACGAGAAGTTAGATGGAATTCTATATAACTCCTGGGAAGATTTTACTTGTGACTGGTGTAAAGAACTTTCCAATAATTCATGTGAAGGCTTGACATCAATGTTTTCAGTATGCACTGGAGTGTAATTTATAAATTCTGCTGGTTTTTCAAACGTTGTAGAGTTTTCTAATTTACTTGAAGAAACTATTTTCCCTTTGAAACTTAAATCATCATACGATGATTTAATATCACCATATAAAGTGTCTGGAAAGGTCAATTCACAAGACCCACAATCAAAGTTATCATTATTAACTTCTACAATAGATCTCTCACTTTTCTCTTTATCAAATAAGCTGTTAGATATCAAATTGTCTTGTGTTAAAAGACATGGAGTTTGAGGTACAGGTTCTCTCTCAAAAAGAGAATAGGATTCTTTATCAAATACCTGAGACATATCTGGAGAGAAAACTGTTTTCATTAAATCGGTTTGATTACTAAGAGTAATTAATTCACTTTTATCAAGTCTTCTCTTAGCTTTATCCTTTTTAGGAAGTATTACGTTTTTAATAATCTGACAATCGACTTGTTCTAAACTCGTTTCTCTGACTACTTGACTTTTTGTCACAGAGCATAAAGAATGTTGTGAAGAATCAGATAGTACAGTTTCATTAGCTCTAGATGATATAATCTCAAAGTGAATGTCATTTGATGAAAGATCTGGTAATGATTGTTCAGTTTTAACTACCTGGTTACTTTTATTAAATATATCACAAGATTGAATTACCTCAGATGATTGATTTCTGTTATTACTTTGAACTTCATTGCAGTTAGGTATATTAATTTTAATTTGTTCTTTTGTTATTTTTTTAACTCCTTCATCTTCTGATGAGACATTTTCAACAAAATTTAATTCATTTGAACAGTTAATATTATCCGATTTGTTTTTCCTATTATTATGACTTCCTTTCTTTTTTCTTGCAAGTTGGCTTAGTTTACGAGCGGTTACATTGGTATTTGATTTATTGGTAACAAATTTAGATGAGCCTTTTTTTGTTTGAGAGTTTTGTTTGTTTCTGACATCATCTTGGAATGTAACATTTTCATCTGTTTCAGCATGATACAAAATTTCTTCAAAGTCATCTATATCTTTTGTTCCATTTTTCACAGCTGCAAAATCAATGACTTCAAAGTCATCATCATCACTGCAATGAAGTTAATATATAGTTAATATGTATTTAATTATTTTCATATTGATATTTAATTTTATTATATGTTTAATAATTTGATTAATGTTTAATAAATTTCCATAATTTATTATTATTATTAATCTATACTTCTTTTTAGGAGTTAGAAAGGGAGTAAACTCCTTGCCTTTATAGTAACCTTTGTCATTTTACATTAAAATGTTTTTTTAAAACAAACATGCTTTTGAAATTTTTTGTTTTAAAATATTTTATTTTTAAATCTAAGCAACTTTATTTTGGCATCAACTACTGACAAAAACTTAATTATCCGAGTTAAGAATTAAAAGGCAACTAAAAACAAAAAAAAGTAACAACAGCTTACTACAAGAGTAACTGGGAATAAAAAGAATATTATGAATTCAACTGAATTTAATATATAAATATATTAATTATATTAAAATATAATATTGCTTTACTATTTTAAATAACGTTATAACGACAATAGCACCAATAAGTTGCCAGTAATTTTTTGCTAGAAATATTATAACCTGCCTACCAAAAAAAAACTTACAAAGGTGGCGGTGAGAGATCTGGAAACATCTTTATAAATTGGTGAACAAGAGCTGTATTTCCTTTGAACATGGGAGTAATTGTATCAACTATATATTTAGAATTTAAAGAAACCTCAAACACATCAACAATCTTTTGAATGATTTTACTGTACCAACCTGGTTGGCTAACAAAAGCTTGCTCACAACATAGATGAAATCGAAGAACTTGCTCATATGAAAGCCATTGCAAAAACTAAATTCATATAAGAAAAAATTTTTTTGCATCAAAATTTGATGAAGCATATAACAATCTATTAAATGGCTGTATTTTAAACAAATAAAATCTTTAATTAAAGCTGTCATGTTTTTTTAAACAATTTTTTAATCCAATAATTGGACTATTTAATTAAATTTTAGATCCTTTATCTAACAAAATTTTCTTAAACATTAAATATTGAAGATATGACAGAGAAATAAAACTAAAAGTAAGCCTAATTAATCTCTAAGAAATTCATTTATACATTCATTTATTTAGTGATTTTTGTAAAATAAAGAGTAAATCGAAAGTTCTCAATTTTTTTTTAAAGTAAAAAACTATTGTTATTATGAAGACAAGTAAATTAAAATTGTGTTGATTATCAAATAAAAAAAAATTTGGCTTTTTAAATTCATCATTTTTCACTATGTTTTTTAAATTTGTCATCATTTAGTTTTAAAACAGTAAATTTAAATAGTTAAGTGGTAAAATACGGAATATAAAACACATGAGTTTTTCCAAGAAAATAGCTTTTTTTTAAACATACACTTCACTTCATATAGAAACATCAAACAGTTTTCATGAAGTTAACAAATACAGCCAATTAAAAGATATGACCAACTAACAGCTAATTAACTAGTTAATTGGCCAATTAAAAGATAAAAGAGAGAGATAATTGGCCAATTAAAAGATAAAAGAGTTTTAATTGGCCAATTATAAGATAAAAGAATGTTAATTAGCCCATTTATTACTCTAATTACACATATAATTAAAAATCTACTTTTAATTCTAAAAATACCTTTCCTACATGGCGTGCTTCATGTTGCTCAAGAAAACCAGCAAAATTATCAATTAACTCAGGATAATCAACAAAAAGATTAGAAATTCGATAATACGCATCTAATCTATTCAATTCCTTAGTGTCTAACTTTTGCATTATAAGATGAAACTGAGATGCTATCTCAGGCTTACCTACTAATGTTTCTTTCACTCTTTTTAAATAGATATAAGTTAAATCTCTTCCTTTTTCAATAAGCTTTTCAGAAAAATTGAACACTTCCTTTACCTTTCTAGGTTTTCTCGGTTTGTTTTTTATCTCTTTTTGTTTGTTTTGAGAAACCTTCTGTTTTGTAGACAAATTAGCCATTTGTAGAATGTCTGCTACTTCTTTATCATTTAAACTAACTGAGTTACCAGAGGAGCAAGTATTTATAGGTAACAGCTCTTTGTTTTCAATTTCTGCAGATTGTAACTTGGAACTATTTTGTAAAGAATAAATAGACAAACTAATATCTTCAGAAAGCTTTTTATCTGTTTGAACATCAGAATTTTCTAAATGGACATCATCATGCAAATAATCACTATCCTGTTTAACTTCGTTGTTTAACTCTGTGTTAAATTTATTTTCTGGAGAAAATGTACTTTCTTTTATATTTTCATTTAGGGTTGAAGTGTTTTCATGAGAGAGCAAATTATGTGGGCATAGGAAACTATTTGAATCATTTAATAACTCATTTGCAGAATTTATATTGTTCTGGAATTGATTCTCACAACCCATAACATCTTTTGGTTTATCTTCATGGATTTTTGGAGGGGAGTTTTTTTTTGGAGGGGAGTTTTCATCAATTTTTATTAAAGTAGAATCTAAGCAAAGTTGTGATAAATCTGAAGCTTCAGAACTTAAATTAATTTTTTGAGGTGTAAACACTCCACATTTTTGAGGGGTTTGTAAGCTTAAATCTGTGTAGACCAAACATTTTTTTAATACGTTTTCATCTTTCGACTTCTCTGGGGTTTGTAAACAATTATTAGTGTAAATTAGTGAGACATATGGTAACTGTAAACTCGACTCGCTTACTACTGGAGCTTCACTTGAAATATTTAATGAAAAAACATCGTGAATTTCATCAGGAGTTTTCATATTTATGTCATGTTTTTCAAGATTGGGTGTTGAAGAAGGTGCTGTTGAATGACTGCTGGTTTGAAATCCTTCATTTAACTTTTCATTCGACAACTCGAGAGTTGCATTATTAATAGTAGAAGTTGAAGTAGAGTAAACAGTAGTGGAAGGAAGAGGAATACACTTGGATTGGTCCAAATTAATACACTTGGATTGGTCCAAATTAATACACTTGGATTGGTCCAAATTAAGAGAATTCACAGAAAAATTCTCAGGAGGAGAGATAAAAATGTTTTCACTATTTATTAAAATTTCAGAAGTTGAATTTATTTGAGGTAGATCCTTTAATGTACAAAAAGGAATACTCTTACTGCTTTCATCAAATGAACAAGAATCAATAAAAGGCTTCAACAGATTGGAGTCAACAGCAGGTTCACGATTCTAGGGGAGAAAAAAAAAATTTATATACTACTTTTTAAATACTGTATAATATAAAAATTTTCTTTAAAAAAATATTATTCCATTATTCTAGCCAAAAGATCCTATAGGTCCTGTAGGACTTGAAAAAAAGGAAAAACATCAAACAATTCATAACTAAAAACAATTTTTAACTTGTCTGTTTTAACTTAATGGTTGTCAAACCTGACTTTTTTTTGTTCCAAAATATTAAAGAGTTTTTTGATTGGTAAGTAGGATGTGTCATACTCAGGTCAAAACTTATAAAATCATATTTTCCATTGGCATTATTAAAAAAAGGTGAGGTCTAACAAATCAAATTTAGAACTATCAACAAATTTAAATTTTAATGAGTTTAAGCTACCAGGGCCTTAAAAATTGCAAAAAAAGGTGATCTTTTCATATTTTCAGGATCAATTTGAACATTTTTAGACTTAAATCAACTTTACAACAAATTTTTGAGCTTTACAGCAAACTTATCTACAGAAATTAATACAAGATAAGCATAATACATTTATGAGCTTTACAGCAAACTTATCTACAGAAATTAAGATAAGCATAATACATTTATGAGCTTTACAGCAAACTTATCTACAGAAATTAATACAAGATAAGCATAATACATTTATGAGCTTTACAGCAAACTTATCTACAGAAATTAAGATAAGCATAATACATTTATGAGCTTTACAGCAAACTTATCTACAGAAATTAAGATAAGCATAATACATTTATGAGCTTTACAGCAAACTTATCTACAGAAATTAAGATAAGCATAATACATTTATGAGCTTTACAGCAAACTTATCTACAGAAATTAAGATAAGCATAATACATTTATGAGCTTTACAGCAAACTTATCTACAGAAATTAATACAAGATAAGCATAATACATTTATGAGCTTTACAGCAAACTTATCAACAGAAATTAATACAAGATAAGCATAATACATTTATGAGCTTTAAAGCAAACTTATCTACAGAAATTAAGATAAGCATAATACATTTAGGAGCTTTACAGCAAACTTATCTACAGAAATTAATACAAGATAAGCTATTATTAAGATAAGCAATTAATTTCTTAATACATTTAGCAGTTAAATCTGTTTCAGAAGTTTTGATTTACAGAATATTTGAGTTTAGTATGTAATAACTTCAAACTTCAATAACTTCAACACATATTTTATTAGGTCACTTTTAAAATAGCTAAAGAGAAACTTTATTTTTAAACAGCGCTAAAAGTGTGACTATGTCAAGCACTGACTTTTTGGAGTCTGTAAACACTGCAGCTTTTGCACAGCATGTCACGAAACCTACTTTTGGCAATAATACCCTTGACCTGGTGCTTACTGACTGCCCCTCCAGAATTATAGAACTTAATATTGGTCCATCGCTTTGCAGCTCAACTAAAAATAATTTCCATTGCACCCTTATATGGAGTTTCTTATTTGAACCATTAATATCCCCTACTAGGCTGTTATCACTAACCAAACCAAACTATGTTAGAGGTGATTATAAAAACCTAAACAAATTTTTTACAGATACAGAATAGAGGAATCAACTTGAAAAATTCAAAAACAATCCCATTTTAATAAACCAACTTATTGAGTTTTGATACAAGGAAGGTCTAGCTAAATATGTACCAAACCAAGTTTCATCAACTCAAAAACAGAGATCAAAACAAAAATGGTTTACAGCAGGTATTAAAATTCAAACAAAAAAGAAATTTAACCTTTGGTCGAAACTGCTAGCCAGCTCACCCACTACTCATCTATTTATTAGCCCAATTTACAAAGCAACTTGCAAGCAGTTAAAAAAAGACATCCTTGCTGTACGTAAAAGTTACGAATCAAAACTCGCCTCACTTTCAAAATCTAATCCAAAATTGGTATACAGTTATATTTTCAGTCAAAAAAAAGCAAAGTTTACTGTTCCCTCATTGATAAAAAATAGTATAGAGCTAACAAAAACGCTTGAAAAAGCAGAATCTCTTAATAAACAGTTTGAGCCTTCTTTTCCTAAAGGTGACCACAAGGACAAATCCATGTTCTCAAGCAGAACTAATCAGGTATGCAAAATTTATCAATTTGACCTTAATGAAAATACAGTTTTTGGCGAGTTAAGTAAGTTAAAAAAATATAAAGCAATTGGCCCAGATGGCATAAGTCCTTATGTTCTCAATAAGTGCGCTATTGGATTACCTTGGCCTATTTCCTTTCTAATAGTGTCATCATTTGAGACAGGTATTATACCAAATATTTGGAAAGAAGCGAATGTGATACCAATATATAAAAAAAAAGGTAAATAAAATGACCCATCTGAATATTAACTAATATCTTCAACAGCCATAATATCTAAAATCATTGAAAGATTGTTGAAAAATCATATGATGAGCCACCTAATTCAGTACAAACTAATCTCTAAGCATCAACATGGCTTTGTAAGACAAAAATCATGTGTTACAAATTTACTAGAGACAATAGACATTGTATCAGAGGCTTTGAACCGTGGACTTTATGCAATCATAATATATCTGGATTTCGCTAAAGCCTTTGATAAAGTCTGTCATGAAGCGTTATTTGTCAAACTAGAGGCTTATGGTTTCAAAGGTAAATTACTGAGATGGCTAAAAGCATTCCTTCTGGAAAGAAAACAAAGAGTTCTTATTGACGATAAATACTCTGAGTGGATAAAAGTTCAGAGTGGTGCGCCACAAGGATCTGTTCTAGATCCCTTACTATTTATAGTGTATGTAAATGACATGCCAGATGTTGTCAAATGTTCACTCTTTTCAAACTAAAAAACCAATTTGACATTAAGCAGCTGCAGACAGACCTTGATGCTGTGGCTTAATGGGTAGATAATTGGAAAATGGAATTCAATGCAAACAAATGCAAAGTATTAACGATAAAAAAATCTACAAAAACAAAAATCCATGATCACAAATTCAGCATACAAAATCAAGATAACAGCCGCACATACTTGTTGCCTACCAACCAAGAATGAGATCTTGGAATTTTAATAACTAGCAATCTAAAATGGTCCACCCAGTCAAAACATGGAGCAGTCAAAGCTTGTGCAGCTCTAACTTCACTCAAAAGGACGTTTAGATACTGGAACCCTTCAATGTTAAAAACACTATATACCACATTTGTAAAACCACACCTTGAATATTTTGTTGATAGGAGCCCCTGCATGGGCTCCTATCAACAAAAGCGATGAAAAAGTAATCGAACGAGTACAAAGAAGAGCCACCAAGTTATGCGATTCATTAAGAGGAAAAAAATATGAAGATCGACTAGCCCTACTCAATATCCAATCAGTCAAAGCACGTAGCACACAGGTAGATGCAATTCAGTACTTTAAGGAAAGCACTGGTATTAATGTTATGTCCTGGATCCACCAACCAAACAAGTCTCGATCTGGCGATTGTCCTGGGCCAGCAGGTGCAGTTAGGGGAAATAAGGAGCGACTAACCAAATAGCTCACAAATAATTGTCGTCAAAGAGAATACTTTTTCTTAAATAGAGTGGTTGACGTTTGGAATATATTTCTGGATACAGTTAAAAACTCCAAAACTACGATTTCCTTTAAAAACAGTTACAACGCCTATTTAAAAACAATATGAAACTTTATATACAGTTCAGCTGTCATAGTTGACCATATACATTTGGTCAGCTCTGCTCTATTTTATTAAAACATCTTTTTTAAACATTTAGTATACAAGTTATTGATCTTTATTTATTGTCAGTGAAGTAATCAAAAGGAACTGCAGGGGAAGAAGATTTTATTTTTTATGGTTTTTATAGTGGGATATGATTTGAAAAATATATTTTTTAGTAAACAAAGAGAGACTTGATAGATGAAAAGAGATGGAGCCAGAATTACTCTTTGTTTCTCTTTATTTAGGACTATGCTACTGTATATTTTCAATTCTTAATCTATTTTATTTGTTATATAAGAATAGCTTACCAGGATTATATTTCTTATCAATATTGACGTTATGATCTTTTTATTTAAGACATAAACTAATATTTACTACATTTCTAAATAAATGTTTAAAATTACTAGACATAAAGTATAATTAAATATAAAATGGCTGCTGGAACAAGGAGGAAAAATGGTTCTTGTCTACATGAAAATTTAGGATCTGGAAAAGAGTAGCTGAAGCGCTAACTATGAGAGATGTGTTAAGATATAGTATTTTTCTAAGAGAAACCAGTGAACTAAACAGAAGAAATTTTGAGTTGATCCAGGATATTCACATTAAACTTTCAGAAAAATGGTCTATGGTCAGTGTTTTATTTAAGCCTTCAGTAACTAGTTTAAAACATAACTTTATAACAAGGCTCAAAGATTGACAAATCAGACAAAACAAAGCTTGTCTGATTTCTTAAAATAGAGCAAGTAAAGTTAAAAAAAATTTTTAATTTCATCATTGACAAATTATTTGTCAATGATGAAATTAAACATTAGCTTTATCTATCCTAGGGAGAGAAAAATACCAATTAATAAACTGGTTTATATAAAAGGTATGAGTGGGTATGCTAAAAATAATGTAAAAGTATTACTAATGTTAAAAATGAAACTTTACTTAAGAAATATTTTAGTTAATAAACTTAATTATTATAATTCTTAATTTCTCTTTGATTAGTTTAAATAGAAATTTTTTTTTAAACATTTTTCTAGAAATAAACAAATTATTGCCACATTTTTTTTTAGCCCAGCGAGAAAATATTAGAACTCTTAGTTCTTATCAACTTGGGCCTGGTAATTTGATGGAGTCAAAAAGGTTAATAAAAGTAGAAAGTTGCAAACGAAAAAGAGTAGAAGAAAAACTAATAAGGAAAAAAAAAAAACACACACACACACAACTCAAAACAAAACTAATGATCAAGATAAACAAAATAACGAACATGAAATTTTTAAAGAGTTCAATTTTAATGAAAGTGAGATTCAAAGTTTAAGGAAAGCGAGATTCAAAA